GGCTCGGTGGCCCTGCTCAGAGCCCGGCTGTGCTGCCTGGCTGGGGCTCCGGCTCCCCGAGCTTAAACAAAACAGATGCTTGCAGACTGCTCGGGCTCGAGGGATCGCACTGGTGTTCTTCTTGCTGGCTGTTGGAGGCTGTTCTTCCTGCCTGCCCAGCAGAGAACCGATCGTTCCGTTCCCTGCCTCGTTGGTAAACACTGATGGCATTCCCCTCTTGTGTAATCATCTTGTCTTCCGGTTGTGTACATCGGTCTTCGAATTAGGTTCTTGGGGAGGGGGATGTGAGTCCTCCTCGGTGACTTCGTGGTGGAAACAAAGGAAGAACTACGGTGCTCGTAGCATAGGGATGGTTCGTGGTGGCGGTGCAGGACTGCGCATTCTAGTCCTCTGAAAATGGAGCTTTAAGTTGTTGGATGTATGTGGAAACAGATCACCGCGGTGTTCGGACAACAGTCTTTTAGCACAAAACGTGGGAGAGTTCAGCTCCCATCAGGACTTCTGTTTCCCTCTTTCCTAGGTCACGGTAAAAATCACAAAGACGCTGCCTCGGTCAGGGCTACGCACCCTATACCTGCAGCCTGCGGCATTTATTACTTTGAAGTGAAGATCGTCAGTAAAGGTCGAGATGGGTAAGTGCCCTGTTTGATGGTTGTTGACGTGTATTTAGTAGTGCTGCTGTACTCTGACCTCCTTTCCGGAAGGGCAAGCGGTCCCGTGGCTGTCGGGTGTAGCAAGACAGGTACATCACGGGGAGGTGATGTGCTCGTGGTTGGTGGCTGTCAGTGTGGTGGAACCCGCTGGAAGTGGAGGCACTCACACAGCTGCTTGCTGTGCTGTTTGATATGGGCAGCTTTGAAAATTTAGGAAACTTTGGGTCTCTGGTGCGGTTTAAATTAAAATAGCTTTTCCTCTTGCTAGCTGGGTCTCGTCACTCAGATTTTGGGAATTCTGATGCCTCAGAAGTGGAGTAAAATAGAAGGGAAGAACCTTGAACTTAATTTGGGGCAGTTAGAGAGATGTTTGCGTGGTGAGAGTAGTCACAGCAGTACGTGAGCACTGGGCGGAGAACTCCTGAGACATTTTTTTAGAAACCCCAAACGCACAATCAAGGAAAAGATGTTCAAAGGGAGGGAAGCGAGATGGTTGTGAATATGAGCTGGAATCTGTGCTGCTTGTGTCATCTCTAGGACTTGAATTTGGACTCGAGTCATTATCTCGGGGTAGCTTACACCACAGAGTTTCATGACAGGTAGCAACTGTGGAAGCTTGGGAGACTGTGCTGGAACCAGAATGGTAAATATGAAAAGGTTTTTCCTGACCAAATCACATTTTTCCTGGTAATGTTTAATACCATAGGCTGTTGTCGAGACTGCATTTGCCCTAGCAGTCTGCGCTGCTTTCGGCAGTCACAAGCGGAGGAGCTGCGAAAGCAGCAGATCCTACCGGCAGCGTTCGACGCAGCCGTGCCTTACCAGGCGGCACCTCGGCCAACTGAACCGGCCGTGGGCTTTGGCTCTCATCCAGGCTTGCGGTCACCGTGTTGGGCATTATTCTGATGTGAAATGTATCTGAACCAGGATGGATGTGGAGTTCCTTTAAAGCCATATTCAGGATGTTGGGAGACGTGGGAAGGCCGTAAAAGGGCGTTTCTAACAAGGTCTGGGTTTCTACAGCTAGTGTAGATTTAATTTTTAATCGTTATAAAGGTATCAGCCTGCTGTGTGGGTATATGTTTTGGATTTTTGATTGCTAAAGGATGAATATCGCAGATACAACTACCCAGAAGGGAAAGCTGCACAGGAGAAGGTACTGAGTGTAATTAATTCATCCAGCCCTTCAAGAATAATGTTGGAACTCTGGCCAGTTTAGGGGTCTGAGGGAAGGGCAGCAAACGTTCCTACCAGAAACCAAATTTAAGTCATCATTTCTTCCTGTTGAATTTTTTGCTGTCACCGTTGGATTAAGTAGTGGCCTATTTGGAAAGGGACTTGCAAAGGATCTTG